CACTTATGGGAACCGTCCATCTACTTTATTATGAAGGAATGGATTTCATCTTGTAAATTAATATTCCCGTTTATTTATTTTACTATGCTCCCAATATACCAAGACTTTGACACTATTCACATGTGTCATTACTCAATATGTCAAAGAACATAATATCATAAATATGAGTTTATTAATTACTCAGAATTAAGATTAATTCATACATGACCATCATTGATTAATATTGAATACTCTATTTAATAACAGAATTTATTAGAGATTCATAATTAATCGTGTTCTGGTCCTATGTAATCATATTACATAAAATGCATTCATTCCAATAATCTCATTATTAACAATCTAGGATAAGATGTTTCATTCAGAATGTAATGAACCGCATTAGTAATTTTAAATTAAAGATCTCAACTTTAATTTATAATTACGGACAAGTTTAGATTATTTTATTTCAAACATTATCCTCTGCATATAACAATTATTTACAATGTTTAAAGTTACATAAAAAAATAATCTAGGGATTTTGATATTTATAAAACATCACATGTATGCAAAATAATATTGAAAAAAATTCCTCACTTCATTGATAATCAGCAAAATATTTACATCTTATTTGATTTATGGGCATATATCACAATAATCTCCCACTTGCCCTAAAGCAAATAAGGCATGTCTCTAAGTCCCATACTTTCAAGATGTCTCTCAAAACTCCCAGCTGGTAATGTTTTGGTAAACGGATCAGCTATGTTGTTCACGGATGCGATCTTTTCAACTGAAACGTCTCCTCTAGATGCAATCTCTTTGACCAAGTGGAATTTTCGCTCTATAGGCTTTCCTTTGCGGTGGTTCCTGGGCTCCTTGGCATTGGCCACTGCTCTACTGTTGTCACAATAGAGTATGATAGGCTCATGCATATTTGGAACAACTTCCAATTCCGTCAGAAATTCACGAAGTCAGACAGCTTCTTTAGCTGCTACATACTCAGCCTCCATGGTTGAGTCGGCAATACAAGATTGCTTGATACTCCTCCATATGATGGCTCCATTTCCCAAAGTGAACACTGCCCCCGAGGTGGACTCGCGAGAGTCCCTATCCGACTGAAAATTAGAATCAGTATATCCAATAGGAATCAAATCCCTACCAGAGTATACAAGCATATGGTTTCTCGTCCTCCTCAAATATTTGAGTATGTGTTTGACTGCAACCCAATGATCTAATCCTGGGTTTGACTGGTATCTGTTAACCAACCATACGGCATAGCATATGTCAGGTCTAGTACATAGCATTGCATACATCAGGCTACCAACTACCGATGCATAGGGAACTCGTCTCATATCCTCTTCCTCTTGAGGTGTCTTTGGACACTGCTCCTTGGAGAGATAAACTCCATGTCGAGAAGGCAAATTTCCTTTCTTGGAGTTTTGCATAAAAAACCTGACAAGTACCTTGTCAATATATGATGCCTGAGACAATGCTAAAAGCCTATTCTTGCGATCCCGGATAATTTGGATCCCAAGAATATAGTTGGCTTCTCCCAAATCCTTCATTTGGAATTGGCTGGCTAGCCAGTTCTTTACTTTGGATAACGATTCTACATCATTCCTAATGAGCAGAATGTCATCTACGTAAAGAACCAAGAAGACCACTTTATCTCCTTGAATTTGCTTGTAGACATAAGGTTCACCAAGATTTTGTTAAAAGCCATAAGATTTTATAGCTTTGTTAAATCTAATGTTCCAAGATCTAGATGCTTGCTTTAGTCCATAAATGGACCTCTGCAATTTGTAGACTTTCTGCTCTTGGCCTTCTACCACGAAACCCTCTGGTTGGACCATATGAATGGTCTATTCAAGATGGCCGTTCAAAAATGCCGTCTTGACATCCATTTGCCATATCTCATAGTCATAATGAGCATAAATGGATAAGAGTATGCGGATGAATTTTAGCATGGCTATAGGGGAAAAAGTATCCTTATAGTCTACTCATTCCTTTTGGGTAAAACCCTTTGCAACCAATCTTGTTTTGAACGTTTCAATTTTTCCATCAGCTCCTCTTTTTCTCTTATAGATCCATTTGCAACCAATAGGCTCAACGCCTTCTAGTAGGTCTACAAGCTGCCGGACAGAATTGGAGTACATAGACTCCATTTCAAGTTTCATGGCTTCTTGCCATTTTTCTTGATCAATATCATCCATTGCCATCCTGTATGACAATGGATCCTCTTCACTGCCATCGGTGACTGCAACATTTGCTTTTCCATTTTCACGATAGCAGGTTGGCAATCTTATTTCCTTCCCACTGCGTCGTGGTGGCGGTGTTGTTTGATCATGGTCAGTGGTCTCCCTTCTTTGTCGTCTAACAATTGTTGTCGGCATGGGGCTAATCTGATCAGCCAGCAACTCTTCCAGAACTATCTTGTTTCTGGGCTTAAAATGTGCCATATAGTTATGCTCAAGAAACATAGCATTTGTCAATACAAACACTTTGTTATCCTGAGGACTATAAAACATACCTCCTCTTGTTCCTTTTGGATAGCCCACAAATATGCAGACTTCCGAGCGAGGTTCCAACTTCCCAGTCTTTCCCTTCAACACATGTGCTGGGCACCCCCATATGCGAATATGTCTCAAACTAGGT